ACAATTGACAAAAAGAATTTCAATAAAGGGAATTGGTGTATATCTCAAAAAAAAAATTGTATATCTCATATAAAATCGTTCATTTTCAAAATCTGCTACAATAAAAAATATATTTAAATATTAATATAAATATATTTAGATATGAACATAAATTTATATTTTGTAATTGTTGGTTCTAATAAATATGATAAAATAAAAAAGAATCCTCACAAATGAGAACTCCAAAATTGACGCCATGTAAATTTAAATATTACTATAAAATTATTTCTTTTTGTGTGTATGTAACATATATGCTAATCCAAATCAATGGTTATAATAAATCTGTTAAAATAAAAAAGGATCTTTGATAATAAGAATTCCAGAATCGGTTACATATAATTATTTACATAATCTTTACCTACAAAACCACTATCAACGTAATTAAAGAAAACCAAGAATTTTACTAAAACAAACACAAACCGAAGTATTAAATATGAGTAGAATATTGTGTGATAATCAACTGATTTAAATAATAACTTTGTTTCCTTTACATAAAGATATCAAATTATTAAATGAACAATATATTTTCTAATTGAATATCGTAAGGCAAGAGATTCTAAATTCCATATTGATATGGACCTACAAAAATAGGATATTTTTTTGGATTTTCATTCCATATCATAAAAGGAAACAAAAATCGAAAAAACATATCTAATATAATTAGGCAATGATTAATGAAAGTTTGTTAAGTTACTCTTTTTAGGCTATAATTAATGAATTTGGCGGAAAAAATTACTAAAAGTGAATTATGTTAATCCTTATTATATATTAATAGATATAGATAAGAAAAATAATAAAACTACTATTTATGGGCTGTATTAAATGCTTATCTATTTTTTTATTACTAATTTTAATAAATAAAATGCCTATTTATATAAGTATAGATTTATTTATTCTTATGTTGGCTCATTAATTTCTAGTAAAAAATAATAAAATCACATAACGTAATCATTTTGGATCATTTGTGATTATAATATACAACGTTTAGTTACATAGCAATATAGCGCTATTATTTATTTAAACATCGTTTATTTATGAAATTTTCCAGGCACGCGTCCTCAAGAAAAATCATTTGGTTAAGCCCGATATAATACCTCACACGCAGCCTCAAGAAATTATTATTTGGTAAGCCCTAAAATAAATTGGTATATATCCCACTTTGCACTTTATATAAATTAAATTCATAACGTGTTGAATTTAAGAGATAAAAAGTATGTATACAAAATGACTAATGATTTAAGATTTATATTAAGATTAATTGTATAAGAAATCTCAAACCTTTTACCGTTTACGTAATTGCAAATAAAGCTCAATTTTTTTCAACTTTGCAAAAAAAAAAAAAAAAAAATATCAAACCTTTATTAAGCGTTACAATTTTGTCTCGAAAGAAGATTTCGGCTAACGCACGCTGACATGGTTGATCGGAAAACTGACATGACACGAGAATTTTGACGTGATAATCAATATTTTATACTCGGTGATAAAATAATGGTAACATTGACGTGACATCCCTACGTGTAAGGGACGTGAAATGGAGTCTTACATGTAAAATAATGTGTCATCGATAGGGATGAAAACGATAGGAAACGATCGGCATAGGGCTCAACCATTTCCACTTTCATATTTTTTTCTCGAAAATGAAAATGATACGATAATGTCGGAAACGGAAACGACATCGGTATTCCGGTAATATCGAAAACGAAACTAT